GGGGGGGGGGGGGGGGGGGCGGATTTCGAAAATCCCGATCAGGTATGGGCCCCATCCCTGAACTCAGCCTGATAACTTAAGTAATATACACAGAATATAACTAACTATGTATGATTACCGATAACTTAAGTAATATACATATAATATAACTAACTATGTATGATTATAATATAATATTTATTCAGTTTTGTCAAATTAATTGGATATGATTGTGAGTAATTGCATTGAATTTTATAGGACAATTAAATGCGATTGATAGTTTAAGAAGAAATTAGTATTATAATGTAAAATAAGTATTTTTTAAGGAAAAGAAAAATCGAGGATGTGGGGTGGGTTTGGGAGAAAGTCCCCTGATGGGGATGGTATTGACATACCTGGCCTCGAACTGTCATGTTGCCATCCTTACTAAATGGATAGTCAAGATTACAATGACCCAACAGTAATACAAGCCCTAAAACATACAACATATCTAGACACTACATAACACTCTAGAAGGCAAATCTCTAGCTCCTAATGGAGATGGTATTACCGTACCCGGACTCGAACCGGCATGTTGCCATCCTTACTAAATGGATAGTCAAGATTACAACGACCCAACGGTAATACAAGGGAAGCCCTAAAACATGCAATGTATCTAGACACTACATAACACTCTAGAAGGCAAATCTCTAGACTCTTCTCATATGGGCAAATGCACAACGAATTAGGCTATCTGGAGTGAACTTAGAGGAAATTGGCCCTTCTATACATGGCTTGGAGTCTCAAGTAAGCGGTCCATAACACTAGTCAGTGGCAGTTCTACAGCCAGGGTAGGGTAGGCTGCCTACCCCAATTTTTTTCACTTAAAAAAAAAACCTATATATAAACAAGGTTATTTCTAGCCATCACATGTGATAGTGTAAACCTTTGCCTACCCAGCCCATGTAAAACTACCCACATGTGTTATAGCCCACTTAAACTTTAAAAAAAAAAAAAAAAGGGAAACAATTATAACCAACCCACACTCTTGTGTTATGGGATGGCCCAGTCAAACTTTTAAAAAAGGGGGAACATAACTTATAAGCAGCCAAATAGCTTTTGGTTGTGCAATTCCAGACAGTTTCGGCAGCTTCTTCTCGAGTTGACAGTCTTTGCTGTGCAATAGTTAAGCTGTGCAATTGTGGACAGCCCCTCCACATTGAAAGAGAGTTTGCTAATAGTATCGATAATGCAGAGATAATTGAGGAATTTAAGATTTCTAAGCCTCGTAGGGTAAAGTTTTAGATTTAAATAGTTTAATTTTGTGTTGCATTGCATTTATTTATTTATTTTTAGTTTTTTTTTTTGGTTAAGCTTTTATTTATGTATAGAAATGCATATTTGAGGGTAAGGCTCATTACGTCCCCCCTGACTAGGTGCATCCTTTTATTTTTATGAATGAAATTCACTCGTACTGTCGAGTTTTTAAGGTAAGTTTCGCCTACCTGACTTTTGAGTCCTGGATCCGCCACTGACACTAGTCCAAAAACTTGTGTTTCTATTCAATTTAGTGCAAGTCTTTTGTTTTTGTTGACTTAAATGTTTTATTATTTATACTTTTATGCTCATTTTATACTTTGAGGTAAATTGCGGATACAAATTAAAAATGTTTAATTTCATACATCTCTCATTCTTGCTTTCAAATTTTGAGTATTCTCAATTTAGAAAATGACTTGAAAAAAATTTCGTTTGTAAGGTTAATTTGTTTTCCATGCTAAATGGTCAGGAACAGACCTAAGATTTGAAAATAGTTTGGGCTAAATTTACCTTACATACAAACCTATAGAAAACTCGACGGTACGAGTAAATTTCATTGATAACAAAAAAATTCATGCAGAATATAATGAGCCTCACCTCTCAAAATGCATATAGTACATGTAGATAGAAACTAGCAAGAAAAAAAAAATAAAGAACAAGAAATAAACATGCAAATTTAGAGAAGAAAATTAAAGAAATTTTTAAAAACCCTAAATCTCCAAAATTACATCAACAAATTTAGATAAGAAAATTAAAGAAGACGAAGAATTGAAGCCTTAGTTTGCTTTAATTAAATATTCAAGAATGACATGGGTGATTGGCTTTGGCGTGCAGCACCAAGCCGGGAGGGATGATTTTCCTTTTTGCCGAAGAACAGGGGTTGGGTAACTGAGCAAGAGAGAATGAAAAAAAAAAAAAAGAGAGAATGAATGTTTTCTGCATAAGGGGTTGGTCCCGTGTGGGGTGTAGGTTTGTGAATGAGATTTTATTTGTGTGCAGTCTCTATTTTTTATTTTATTGGTCAGACATGTGGTGTAGGTTTGTTAATGAGATTTTATTGGCTGGGATGGGGATGGTCACATGGGCTGTGGTATTATTTTAGGCTACAAAAACTCAAGTCACTTAGGCTACAACCCAAGTTAGCCTGGACTAGAACCGTCCCTGCAGATGGCAACCTTACTTTATGTGCACTACTTTAGCACCTATAGCCAATTTGGTTCATGGAATGAACTTATTGAGAGTGAAACTTTCAATTTTAATCCAAGAGATGAGAAAATGGAATACATTCATTCTCGTGTTTAGGAATACTGGGAAATGAGGATAGGAAATACCATTTTCTCTTATTTAGGCACTTACCAAATATAGATGCAATTTCACTTGCTCGATAGTCTTCGAGAAAACCATAAATTATCTCATATGCATCACTATACTTTGGGTGCAATATTGTATGAATGATACAAGTATAGTATATACAAAACCAATGCAAAAACAAATTTCAAACCAATGCATAATAGTTGTTGGGTAAAGATAAATTTGAGTAATTTGACTCTAAGCCAAGTGGTAATATTTCGGTACCACGCAATAATTTTCGGTAAATGTACAACCTTACCAACCTAATCAAGAGATGGGGCTCTATATAGAATTGCACGGTAAATATTGAAAGGAAAAATTGTCAAAATAAGTGATTATAAACTCAAAAAAGCAATATCAAACGGAGTCTTAATAGTAAAATTAATCCTCATGTCATACCGCATCAGCATGAAGGGAAGATTGGTGGACCCTCTATATAGAATTGCACGGTAAATATTGAAGGAAAAATTGTCAAAATAAGTGATTATAAACCCAAAAAAGCAATATCAAACGGAGTCTTAATAGTAAAATTAATCCTCATGTCATACCGCATCAGCATGAAGGGAAGATTGGTGGACTCATATACCACCACATAGAAATTTTAAATCAATTCAGTGAATACTCAAGCAAATTTAGTGAAAGAGATTGAATATACCAGAAAATTTCATCTCGAAAAATGATATGAAATCCAGATGGAAAGAAAAATAAAAACTAAGTCAACATAAGTGGAAACACATATGATGTAGGCTATGATAAGTTCTACATAGGTTGAAAACCTGTGCAAACAGAACAATACATACTACCTAAACTTTGGAATCTTGAAGAAACAAACAATGTGTCATATAGTTTAGCATTTTAAAATTAAAATTTAAACTTATTTTTGTAATAAGAAAGGACATGAAGTATATCCAGATTCCCAAAACCATCCACAATCCTTTTCTAGTTTCAATGAATGGGTCCGCTCCACTGTTAAGATAAAATTGTGCGTTGCTTTTGTGAGAGAAAAATACAGGTAGTTCAAGCTATTGATGCCAGACATTTGCTTTTGGGAAGCTGATGCCAAAAAATCCAGCTTAGCAATTTTGATAAGAATGTTCTTATCACCCCCACCAACTCCATGAGTAAGTGCCACTTGTCCTTTTCTTTGTATCTTTATATGGAGATAACCAATCTCAGGGAGTGAGAGTGAGAGAGACCCAGAAAAGCCTCGAGCTTTGGACAGATTGAAAGAAAACTGCTAAAACCCAGATATTTTCATCATCAGTCTCACACACCACACAACCCTTTAGATCCATAAATCTTGTAAGACCCATCATCCCATCCAAATCCTCTAATCCAAAATACCCACTTTTTACAGGTTTTATCAATTCATTTTTTTATTTATTCAATAATTATTGGGTTTTCTTTTATTTGTTGCTTTTCAGGTTGCTGGAGAACCCCAGTCCAATGCCTGTACTCCAAGGTGAAAATCCAAGCCCCAAAGAGGGAGTGAAGGTGGTTGGATGTGATGAGAGAGCTGCAAAATCAGATCCTAGTGATATATCTCAACAACTTGAAAATTTGAAGGTTGAAGATGCTTCTTCTGGTTCTACAGGGTGCAGGGAATTTTCTTCTGACACAGAGATTGGGGCTAATGAAAAGACTGCTTCAACAAATGAAGGTACGGATCTTTTAACCATGTTTACAAAATTGCAGTGCTTTGTTTATAAATAAGTCCGTTTTGATATGGGATTTTATATAAAAAAAACCCTTCAAAATCAATACTTTAGAAAAACTTTATGCTGTAAGTGAATTTTTTTAATAAACTAACAACCCATTAGAAAATGACAAGTGAATAATTCAGGGCTTTTTTCTCCAAATAGACTCTCTAAGGATTTTTGTATAAAATGTCATGTTAGAATAGGTCTATTTATGAAAAGTCCGTAAGAAAAAGATTTATGTAATTATTTGTAAGGCTATGTACGGGAGTAGTCCACTTAAAAATGATAGAACACACAAATGTAAACTTGTATGAAACGGGGATAGCACTGTTTTGCTATCTCCGACCAATCACAGACTGACACGTGGAATCATACGTGGCATACTATGATTGGTCGGGGATAGTGCTATACCCGTTTTATGTAAGCGTTTCTACATCTTTAGAGACCAACTTGTATACTATCTCTCCAATAGAGAGTGAGACCCATTGTATTGGTGTGCTTCACCTCTATTAGAGAGATGGTCTCCCTAGAATGACCCTATCGAAAAGGGTTGGAGTTAGTTTATTTAACTAAAGTCTTGTAATGGTTATTGTCCTAGAAAGTTGCCAATTAAATATTCCAGAAAAATGAAAAATGGTGCTTTTACCAATTAATGGGTGTAAAATCTATCGACCATCTCCAGTAAGTTATAATTGTTTTGTGCTGCTCAAAGTCACTTCCAAAAGAATCTCCTTGATATATTGAATAAGAACAAAGTTCCAGGACTTACTCCATTTGATCGATTTAGCAGGTTCTTGTAATAAGCTACCAGCAAGATCACAGTTATTCGAGATATGTGTTGCAAAAAAATGGAAGCTCCCTTTGTATGAGTGCTGCAAAGAGGAAGGACCACCCCACATGAGAATGTAAGTTCAAGATCATATTCTAGAAAGCCAAGTCATAGCTGCCTCATCAACAAATGTTGTCTTCTGGAATTAGTATAAAGCCTTTTAATCTCACAATTAGAAGTTTCTATGATATCTCAGTTTCTGTTTTGTTACTTTTTTAATTTAATCAGAATGCACAATTCAATTTAAGCTAGGGCTCGTTTGAGAGTGATTTTGGAATAATCACTTCTCCATATAATCACTTTAAGTGGTTTTAAGTGATTCTATGAAGAAGCACATGTGAGGTGTTTCTCCTTTGAATCGCTTAAAATTACTAGTGATTACATGGGGAAGAACCAGAATCACTTCCAACCATGCCCAAAAACATGTTATATAATGAGAATGCACACAGAAATTTAAGTTGTTTTTTTCTTTAAAAAATTGATGCCTATTGTAATTAGTGTTTTGTTATTAGTGACTAACCAAACCCTTATTTTAAACAGGTTCACCTACAAGGTTATTGTTGAGATAGAAGAAACCGAAAAGACAGTTTTGGAATGCTTTGGCGCTCCTCATTCGAAAAAGAAATCAGCAGCAGAGCACGCAGCTAAAGCAGCGTTATGGTACTTGAAGAATATTGGTTATGACTCGTAGGATCGGTGAAATGAATTATCGTGAAGCACCATTGAGATCAGTCAGTTACTGATTTTTTTACTTTTGGCTTCGTCCCTAGCCAAACAATTTAGAGGCTATGGATACACATTTAGGCCCAGTTTGAGATTGCTGTCACTTTTAAAAAAAGTTACTTTTGCTGTACTTTAAAAATAATTAGCTGTAAAGTAAAGTAGCTCTATGTTTGGTAAATAATATTTTTAAAGTGTTATTAGTACAAAAAGCAGTGTCAAAACCATTTGGTAAATTTTAATATAAAACTTTTGTAACTGTGAATAATGACTAAAATATACATGATGTTGAAAGTGTTATGTGCTAATCATGTGGTGGTGGTGGTGGTGGGGTGGAAGAGATAGAGGTGAAGGTGATGGTGGTGTTGAAGGTGGAGTTGATGGTTGTGGTAGTGGTGGTGGTGGGGATGGCAGTTGTGGAGGTGGAGATGGTGGTGGCGATGGCAGCGTGGTGGAGGTGGTGGTTGTGGTGGCGACAGAGGAGGATGAGGAGGATGTGGTGGTGGTGGCGGTGGTTGTAGAGGTGGTGAATGTGGCGGTGGAGGTGGTGGAGTTAGATGTGGAAGTGGAGGTGGTGTCATTTTTTAAAATGAATGATGGTATTTTAGAAATTAAAAAAATTCATTAAAGGCTCATCTCTGCTTTTTTGAAAGCAGCTTTGAAAAGCAACTCATAACCTGCTTTTAAAAGCGGTTGTCAAAAGGCCACTG